GGCATTGCAAGTGATGCATTTAAACAGAGCTGGGCCAGTTTCCCGATGCTGCCACAGGTTTCTGTGGCACCCACCCAAGCCCAGGGTGAATTGCTTAAATGCTGTTGGCTTGAAAAGGAATATTTCAGTGTGTAACCTATTAAAGAAAAGAGCAAGCAGACTCTAGTCTCTTCATCCCAGACAGAAAGGGACTTAAAAAACCTAACACTCCTCCCTGGGATGAGGGGGCTCTGTTAGCTTCAACCAACAAGCCTTCTCCAGGCAATTCAACAGAAAGGGGTGTTTGTCCCTCTCCTCATTCAAAGCTGACTTTGCCAGTCTCAGGGGGAGATCTGGAGAGCTCAGAAGATGCAGCAGGAGCAGAGAAAGCAGCACTGTTTCTCAGGAATGTGTCTGTCTTCGAGGACACTCTCTAATGTCCTTAATCCCAGGAAAAGAGGGGGCTTGGAGCACAGGCAGGGAGGTTTTCAGCTGGGCTGCAGGGGGGTTTTTGAGCTGCTGAGCCACAGCCTGCCCAGAGCTCAGCCTGTGCTTCTGCAGCTTCAAAGGCATCACAGGAGGCACCTGCAGGGAAGGGGCCAGCAATTAATGTGAGCTCATGGAAATACAAGGAGAATCTGGAGGTGAGGATGCATTCCCATGGGCTGGGGTGGTGTCTCACAAACAGATGTGCCACCAAGGGTCAGTGGCATGCACATCAGTGTGCAGAGAGGAGGCAGAGGTTTAGGACAGTGAGGCAGTGAAATATGAGGGTGAAAGGAGAGATGCAGGGAAGGCAGTGAAGCTCCAGATTTGAGGAGTGTCATGCACAAAAGGATGAGGTTTTCCCTACACTGCCCACTCAGTGTTCTGGCTCCCCATAGTGTCCAGGGGATAAATTAGGAGCTGGTTCATTTCTGGAGGGACTTTCTTTTCAAGGCAGATCCTTCGTGGACCACTTAATCAAGATCGATTCATGAGGCCCATTTCAAGTCATCAGTCTTATTGCATTATGCATTTCCTCTGATGATTGAGCCCACGAGAAGTGGAGAGGAATATAAATGTGTGCCTTGCTGACACCTCTCCCAGCAGCCAAGGCAGTGAATGGGACAGTAGAACAACCTTTGGCTGAAAACTGCTTTCAGTTTAAGGACAGCATAAAGAACAGATGTGTCAAGGAAAGCACAGTGAGGATAAACCCCTTCCCAGGACTGTTTTCTATTTGAAGCCACAAAGGTCTGTAATAGCAGCCCATATTATTTCCTCACAGCAGCACCCTGCACATAATTGCTCTGTGAGGTTCATTAATGCAGAGAGGAGCCCATGGTATGGGCTAAAGAGCAAGTTCCCTCCTTTGAAGCCAGCCTGGCTGCTGCTGGAACAGTGTGATGCAGATGCTGTGAGTCAGAGCAGGCTGGAGGAGGGAGCTGCCTCAGCCCATCAGCGCGAAGGGACCAGATTTTTGTGGTTTATTGTCAGCCTGCTCGTTTTGTGGCATTTGGAGAGAGCCAGGCGTTTTCCAGGCATGTGCAGAGTTCTCTGGTTTGCTGAGGTGGTTCTGTGAAGTGAACTTAATCAAAGGGACAGCTGATCCTGCCGTGGGGTGGCTGGTGGGATGGTTTGATGGTTCCCAGGGAGAGCTGTGCCTGCAGGAGTGTTGTCCCCCCTGGAGCACCCACATCCTGGGCACTGGCCCTGCTGCTCAGGGCTGCCTCTGGGTCCCTCTGTGCCTGCTTTTTGGGGGACTGGAGTGTGAGTTCTCATATTCCTCCTCTTCCTCCCTGAGGGATTTCAGTGCTGTGTAGGGAGATGAAAGCTGATACCCGCATGTCCAACAGACACATCCCAAGTGCTTCGGGTGTCAGGAGCTTGAAGCAAGTCACACACCACCAGATTCCAGGGGCTCAGCCCATTTCCCTGAACTGTGCTCCACACATGGCTGCAAAGTGGGTTTTTTCCAGTATTCCCTGGCAAATTTTAGAAAGAGTTTCAATACCATTTGATCTCTCCACAGGACCACATGGAGTGCATCCCTCCAGCACTGTTCACTTCTTGCTGTGCTTGTTTGGATGACAGAGGGAAGCATTTCTGGGCTGGTTCTTTCCCATACTGGTTGATGCTAAACATATTTTACTGGAAAAAGCACAGCTGCTGCCCCTCAGTCATGGGTTACAGCCTTTCCTTAGACAAGTTTTAAGAGTTTATTTTCTGTTTCCCATATACGGCCAACTGAAAACGAAATAAAATATATCCTTTTTTTTTTTTTTTTTTTTTTTGCAATGTGTGTCTATAGTTAGTACAAAGTGACAGATGATTGATGATTTCTTTAGTTGCAAATATTGTAATTCTTCTGTTCTCTTGTTTCCTACAAGCACTGACTGATATTCCAGAAGGACAGATAAGCATATTGAATTCCTGCTGCCACTTTGTCAATAGAAACATTTTCAAAACCCAGTCTGCATAACTTTTGGTGGCTTTTTGCTTATATGTTTGCTAGGAAGGATTCACCTGCTCTGGAAATTATTTTCTAAAATATTTGACCTCTGGATTTCCTTATTCTTTGGCTCTCATGTTCCCCAGACCTGCTCTGAGCAGATTTCAGCGTGGTGATTAAAATTCCTCTGTACTTAGGAGCATTCCTAAAATGTCCTTGTGCTGGGGCATGTGAAGGAGGGATAACAGGTGAAAACAATTATTTCATCCGTTGATAGCAGCCAAAATGCAAAGATGTCTTCAAGGTTAATGATGTCCTCTATGGTCCCAACTGCCTTAAATGACTGGAAAATCTTCAGAGGTCTCCACACTTTTTAAAGAACCTGAATGATGTCAAAAATGAGTGGGAAAAGATTAGTACAGTCTTCAGGAAGAAATTATTCCTGACATCTATTCAGATTATTTTAAAATTTTATGCAAGATGAATCCCAATGAATATTGTTGAATATTTACTTCAGTTTCAGAATGGTTTTGTTTGGGGAAAACAGCGAAATACAGTGGTTTCAGCCACTGCTCATCACTGTCTCATCACTGCTGCTCTTCTTTTTTACTTCTCCTATTTAAATCTGCATTCTGAGGGGACTTAACACACCAGTCATCTTATTCATACCTGCAGTGAACTTGGACTTTTCTTCAAGACTTTGTAGGTTTCCCAAGAAGAAGCTGGTTGCACAAACTTCAAATTGCCCTGTGATAGTTTCTTTTCACAGATCTTTTCCCCCTGAGTACCTCCCAGGAGCAAAATGTCAATGTAATTTGGTCCTAGCCATGAATAACCAGTTGGCAACCTGTGAGGTCCCTCTTACTGAACCTTAGGAGCTCCACGTGTCAAAACCCACTTGGCCTGAAATGCATTAAGATGTCAGGGACAATTATCCTTCTGCATTTCCTGTTCATTAATCACAGCTCTGGCTTTCTGAAACCCCTACGCCAGCAATTACCAACAAGATTGATGTGGGTTTAACCAGCATTCTGAGGAGTATGTACACACAAAACACCGCTTTTTTTTTTTCCTTTTTACCTAAATCACTGTACTTTGAAGCAAAACAAGCCATCTATTTAGAGCATCTGTACACCAGTATCCAATTCTCAGCCTTGTAAGTAGATGCCAAATTGCTTACAAAATGCTGGAAGAAAAAAGTGTGAAAGTCTTTAAAGTCATTTTTTGAGTCACTTATGACTCCCTCAGTCTGACACTTATGGGAGAGGGCAATTTAGTCTTTTCCTGGCAAGGTCTGTTCCCAAAACAGTTTCCATCTAATGGCTGGATCCTGACTTTGGAAGTTGATCAGCTAATTAGCTCCCTCAGCCTGTGAACAGAGAGCATCATTTTGGGAACCTGACTGGTGTTTTCCTGAAAGTGATGTCACTTGGCTTTTTTAGCTCACACCATCACGGTGTGACTGAGAGCAAGCGAGGGAGGGGAGCCCAGGGGCAGGCTGAGGAGGAGCCTGCAGAGAACACCCAGCAGCAGGGCAGGGGGAAGGCAGAGTTCAAACCAGCTCTCCTGCTGCTCAAATGATGGCATTGTGACAACCCTCCCATTCATCTCCCCTCGTGCACTGAGGTTTCTGATGGTGCCAGTGCCAATATTTGAGTACATCTCTTGTGCTTGTGCTCCCAAACACAACCAGAGCTCAGCCTGTCCCACACACGGTGGGAGGGCACAGCCCCTGTCCAAGCACCTCTGCAAGGAGCCACAGCAAACAGTTCTGCACAGGGCAGGGCTGCAGAGTGGGCATTGAACACCTCTACCCCTTCCTCTGTATTGCAGTGTGTCTCTAATTAATTTTTCACCTCTGACTCGAGGGGTGGCTGATTCTGCAGTGCCGCCCCGATCAATACACCTGTGTATCTGCACACGTGTTCATCACCTGCAGGGAGCCAGAAGCAGACAAAGACAATAAGGAAATGAAAGAAATGTATTTCATTAGTAATCTAAAGTCTAGAAAAGCACCTTCTTTTCTCCCAAATGAGCAAATTCTATAAAGTGGCTTTTCTAATAGTAGAACTCCTTTAAGAAGCTGATAAGCCAGTTCCTTCCTGCTCCACTGAGAGTTCATTGTTCAGAATTTGTTTTTCCCCATGAACTGTGATTTAAAAAGAAGTAGCCTATCCAGTGGTGACTGAGTCCATGAGAGTTAGGGCTGGGTGAACAATTCTGTATAAAATTTACAGCTGGCTGACAAATACTTTTTAATATATTTTACAAATTTTGTTCATTTCATCCAGCATTATTCAGGAGACATTTTTCCATTACTCTGCTAGCTTTCTTGCAAGTGAGCTGTTGTTAATATGATTATTTGTCTCCCTGGGTGGTAACTGCAGGTTATGGCCAGCTCAGAACCTGTGAGAAAAGCAAGTTCACACCATGGTTGGGGAACTGGTGCCTCTCCTGAGCAGGACATTTCCTCCCAGAGGGAAGATATTTTTCCTGAGCTGCCACATTCATACACAGGCAGGATTCCTCTTTCCCATCTAGGTATGTCTTCCTCTGATGAGCTTCTCCTGTTTCTCTCCTATACCAGGGATTCATGGACATTGACCTGACCAAATTCAGGGAGAGTGGGGCCAATGTCACTGGCTTCCAGCTGGTGAATTACACAGACACTGTTCCTGCCAGGATCATGCAACAGTGGAGGAATAATGATGCCAGAGAGCATCCACGTGTGGACTGGAAGAGGCCAAAGGCAAGTGGAATAAAAAAAATGCATTTCTTTTGGTTCCATCTGGCTCAGTTCAAGTTATACTCACCTCTTTGTGATCACACATAGCTCTTTATTCTCACTTGAGAAACTCTCAGTATCATTATGAACATTACCTGTTCCATTTGCCTTAACATTGTCTGAATTTTACTAGGCTGCTGTCACTGCTTCCTAAGAAATGCACAATTTAATGTATTCACTCGGTCTTCCAGTTTTCACCCCTCAAAGCTAAGAATTAAATACCTCATAATGTTCAGTGTATAAAAAACAAAAAGCCTCATTAAGTCCTTAACCCTTGACTTGTTTACAAGACATCCAGTGATAATAAAGTCTTTCCAGATGTTCTTTCGGAGCATTTCAAATCAGTGTGTATAAGGGAGGGAGAAAGGATTTTAATTCCTGACACAGAAGGCCCTGAAGCTGTTGAGGGATGAGTAGAGGGAGAGGTTGTTTTTTTCTGTTTAATATTTGAAAATGAATACATTTCTGACAAACACTCTGCAGTAGAAATGTTAACTTTGGGATTAGTGTAAGAAAGTTAAAAACAACTAAATCAAGTAGATGATCATAGAAAAAAGAGTTAACACAATTGGTTCTTGCCAAGAGTTTTTCACTGTTTTCTGTACAAGTTTCTGTTTCAGTAAACTCAGGTTTGCAGAATTTTCGCCGATTGAGATGGAATTTTCTGGTCCCCATTCGTGACCAGAAGTCCCTAGATTCTTGATTTCACGTAGCTCACATTTACACAGCATAATGTGTTCCTTAAAAGTTCAGGTCAATGCTTCTAATTAAACACTAATGCTTGGGTAACAGGTGAATGACTTTTAGGGCTGAGTCTTCTTCAGGGAGTGAAATCAGAAGCTTTTCCTTCACTTCCCAGCTGTGAAAGTCAAAACCAACTTTTAGGAGTCAAGAGGGAAGTGGAGGTTACAGGGAGCAAGATGCTGTTGAACTTTAAGACAGGAGGTGAGGACAGAGTGTTGCCTTTTTCTTAACCTGGAAATTAAACTCAAGATACTTTTAGTAAGGAGGTAATACAAGAGTGGATTTTTATTTGAAGGCTTTCAGGGGTAGTTATGGAAAGATGTCCACAAAAGCCTATCCCCAGAGAGATGAGTGCATTTTTATAGGTTTTAGGAGATTGGCATAATTGATAAAAAACACCAGTTATGAGGACAAGTGGTGATGTAATTTCTTCTCTGGTCAGGTTTCTTTTTTGGAGTCCCTTCCTCAGCACTAGCTGTGCTCTGTCCATGAAATTTATCTGGTAGAGTGATTCTCAACCTTGGCTCCCAGGAAGAACCAAGATAGCTCAGGGGCTTTTTTGTACTTCTTGGGGCTTGGAGCTCTGGAATCTGTTTTGATTTTTTGCCTAGGGAAAGGCTATGGAAAATTACGAATGGAATGGAATAGAATAGAATAGAATAGAATAGAATAGAATTAATATAATGCAATATAATACAATACAATATAATACAACACAATACGATATAATATAATGTAATGTAATGTATAATATAATGTAATGTAATATAATGTAATGTATAATATAATATAATATAATATAGTATGATATGATATGATATTATATGATATGATATGATATGATATGATATGATATTATATTATATAATACAATACGATATAATACAATACGATACAATACAATACAATATATAATATAATAGATTGTAATAGAATAGAATAGAATAGAACAGAATAGAATAGAATAGAATAGAATAGAATAGAATAGAATACAATGCAATACAATGCAATACAATACAAGTTAACAGGCTAGAGGGCTACAAATATATATGTGTGAAGAACACAGGGGACATATAAAATAAAAAATAATAAAAAAAAAAGGTAAAAACCAAACTGGCCCCAGAGCAAGTCAGCTGAGAGGTGACCCTGAGCTATGTCTCTCTTGGCAGTACACGTCAGCGCTCACCTACGATGGGGTGCGGGTGATGGCCGAGGCGTTCCAGAACCTGCGGCGGCAGCGCATCGACATCTCCCGCCGTGGCAACGCCGGCGACTGCCTCGCCAACCCCGCCGTGCCCTGGGGACAAGGCATCGACATCCAGAGAGCCCTGCAGCAGGTTGGGAAGGCAGGCTGGGATGTGTGTGCTGGGAGCTGAGGGTGGGCAGCAGCAGCAGAGCCAGCACAAATCACTGGGGATGAGCAGGAGCTGATCCTTCCAGAGCAGAGAGCTCAGGGCTGCATCCAGCAAACTGCTTCTCCTGCTGCCACCCGAGGTGTCCTTCCTTCTGTTGTTCTTCTAAAGCCAAAATATTATACCATTAAAGCAAGAGTCCCTATCTTTATGCTGCCCTCCCTAAGACACAGACCTGCTCAAACCATATTTTTTTGCAGATTATTTGACTGTCTGCGGACTCAGCTTCAGTTCCAGCCTGCTAATGAATGCATGTGAATTTTGCCTTATGTGTTGGCTGTCACCAAAATGTTCTCAAAGTGCAGATTATAGCTTGTTTCATACTGTGAGGACTCATAAAAATCTTAAGAGCAGCCATTTAGATAGTTTATTTCTCAAATCTGATAGTCTTGCTTTTTTTCCTCCTGCATAAAACTTAGATTTTTTGAATAAACAAAAATACAATGTGAAATTTACAGCAAGAGAGAAAAATAATTCACTCTTATCAAAGACTTACCAAGGTAGAATATTTTAAAATTTCATTAAATTTCAAGTCTGACATTTACTTCTAGCACTTTTCTTTCTTTTCCTGACAGAAATAAATGTATTCCTTGCAAATACTGCTAGTTCAGTGTTATCCAAATATAGCTTATCCCATCTTCTTTCCTTAAATGTGAAGAAGGCAAGAAAAATAACATTTATTTGGTTAATTTGTATCATGTGTAAAGTTCCTGAAGTATTTTGTTTTGATTTGGTTTTGGCTTACTGGTAAACAGCAATTCCTTTAAAACCAAATCTTACATCTGATTTGATTTTATTGCTTGGATTCAATTTGTTCCCAAGCCTGTCACTGACTTTCTGCATGACCTTGGGCAAATCACTGTCACAGCTTCTCCAAGCCCTTATAATAAAATCAGCCTCCCTGGTGCATTAGGGAGATAGGTTACCTAATAAACATGAAATACTTGGGAGTCTTCTGATGAGCAATAGCTACTCCAGCATTTTTCTTTATTGAATTTATGAGAATAAGATATAAAAATTAGACAGCTGGAAAACACAAATTTATGTGTGTGTGGGAAAATCTCCTCTGAAGTTTCCTTATATCTTCATTAGAACAATTTCAAAAGTCTTAATTTTTTTTGGCTGGGGTGACTTTGGGTGAAGAACACAAAGACCCTTTTGCAAAAAGTTGCTTCTTTACAGATGAAAAATAATAATTTTAAAAAGGCTTGACCAGTTCAGTTACGATGGTCAAAATAAAAGACTGAAACAGGCAGGGCAAGAAGCCTCCTAGCAAAAAAATTAACTATTAATTTGATAATCTTCCAGTATTTACTAATGTAGCAAGAAGGAGGCAAATGGAAATATAATAACTTATGATAAGATTGAAGGTTTGAGTTATCCTTTCTGTAAAGACTCACAATGAAGATAATTCTTACAGCTGTTCACAGTGTGCTTTCTCTTCACCTCCCATTTGTTAATTTGTTAAATTGTTAAATTTTTTTAAAAGGAAAAGGTACTTGCTTCTACCCAAATGTCTGGAATAAGCTCCCAAATTGCCTTATTCCTGTTTAGTGTAGGAAGAAACCACAGAATCCTGAAAACATTTAGGTTGGAAGATCAAAGATCAAGTCCAAACATTATCCCAACATTTCCAAGTTCACTAAACCATTAAACCATGTCCCCAGCACTGCCACATCCACACATCTTTTAAATCCCTCCAGAAATGGTGACTCCACCACTTCTCTCCCTGAACAGCCCATCCCAATGCTTGGCAACCCTTTTGGAGAAGAATTTTTTCCTAATGTCCAATCCAAATCTCCCCTGGCCATTTCCTCTTGTCCTGTCATGCTGTCTGGGGGAATAGACTGACCCCCACCTCACTACAACCTCCTAACAAGGGTTCATGGAATGCCAGGAACAAAGATGAAAAGAAATATGAAGCATTCTTCATTTTTTCAAAAAACCAGAAATCTGGCATGTTGCAGGGGAATGTATGTTTTTATTAAAGATAATTACCTTTTTTCTTTTTCTACAGGAAAAGGCCCAAAATATTCCTTAAAACCACTACACTAAGGTTTCAATTGTACTTTGAAAAGGTTATGATAATTTTGAACAAATTCTTTTTTTTATCATTATGTGGTCAGCACATCTAATAAGCAGAAAGCTACTCCCTAACTGCTGACTAACCCTGTAAAACAGAAGGCCAGAACAGCATCCTTGTGCTCCAGATATCCCAGCAAAGAGCCACATGCCCATCCATGCCTTACACACAAAGGTGCTTAAATGCTCCATGTCTCCAGTAGACTTGACTGGTGCTTTGCACTGTTGAAGTCAGTCCTCACTGTATTTTGCATTGCATTTTTGCATTTTGCATTGCATTTTTGCATTTTGCTTTTACAGTCAGAGGATGGTGAATGACAGAAAAGTTTTGCTGAATCCTGCAGCATGGATAGCAGAGATCCCTTTTGCCGTTTCAGCACCACATGGATATCACAGGATTATGATTTCATTCACTCAGGTAGAAGAAATTGATGCTGTAAACCTGCCTTTAGTGCACACAAAGCTACAAAGCACAAGAACCTGTGACCTCAGCTTCAGAATCAGTCAGAACCTGAAAAGAAAACCACAGGATACGTGGAAAAAAGCAGGCTTGGGAGTGCTTAAGACAATGGTGCTTTCTCAGCACATCTATTTTTTATGGGCATGTTGTGTCTTGCGAAAAGGGAAAAGCATGTTTATCCAAATGTCACCAGGAATACCTCTTGGTTTGAAAGAGCTTCAGAAAATGCTGGCAGATATTCATTTTCATGACAAACTTTTGTTATAACAGCTGGAAAACAAACACGGTTTAACCAGATTATCAACAGATTTGCTCTGCAGTGATACAGCCTCATTTCTTCACCATGGGTCTTTACTCTGAGGATCTCAGGGTATTTTAAAAAGCTGTTAAGTGCCTGTCCCCATTTTGCATGTGGGAAGACTTCAGTTACAGGGATGAGAGGTTTGTCCAAAGCAAGTGGAAAGGCAGAGAATGAGCACTTCTCTGGGTGGTGTCCACAGAAACCCAAACCTGCACTCTTTTTCCCTTGTTCCTGGTCCCCACAGAGTGGTGATTCCAGTCAGTCTCCATTCCAGGCTGGGCACTTTTGCAGCAAGGGAAGTTCAGGATGTGGGATGTGATGTTAACATCACTTCAGCTCAGCAGTATTATCAGCAGAGATTTATGGTTCAAAGTTTCCTGTGCAAATGTCAATACTAAATTGTTGGATTTTTTTAATCTGGTGCAGAGGTAATTAAATTTGCTTGATAACTTGGACTCCCCTCTATCAAAAGAAGATGGCTGGCAGCTGTGGCTGTGGTTTCATATTTCATCCTGATTTACAGCTCCTGATTTGAGCTGACGGATTCTTTACCAAATCCTGACTCCAGGTCAGATTTAGAAAATACAAAACCCCACAAACTCAAGGAGTTCAGAGCTATTTTGCTCACTGTCACATCCCAGGAGGTGATGGGCTCACATTGGTGATCTAGCTCTTAGGCTGTGCTATGTTTTAAGCCACTGAGTTTTAAGAGAAGGGGTTTTTAAATGAAAGAGTTAGGTAAGAGGATGGCTGTGCCCATGGCCAGGCATGCTGTAGAGAGTCTTAGTGAAATCCCAGTTCCAGGCAGATGTGCTGCTTCCCCTGCATGGAATTGAGAGTAATAACTGCACTCAGCACCCTTCTTCCCCTCCCCTCTCACTGCTCCTGAATCACCACAGCATCACCAATTTGCTGTCTTCATTGATATTTATGTATTTAAGGTCCGTTTTGAAGGATTGTCTGGCAACGTTCAGTTTAACGAGAAAGGACGCAGGACCAACTACACCCTCCACGTGATTGAGATGAAGCACGATGGGATCAGAAAGGTAAAGCAGAGAGTGACCCGACATCCTGTGTCAGGTTCCAGCCCATGTTTGAGTGGTTGGGTCTCAACAGGTATTCCTGCTCATGGATGTTTGTCTGTGGAGTCACAGCAAGGGCATTCCTAGCTCTAGGCACAAGCAAAGCCAAGCACTAGGGAGGACTCGTGGTACATTGCTAAAAAAACACAACATTTGGAAGGTGTTATCAAGAGCAACAAGGGCATCTCAGGTGTGGCAAAAAATTTTCCAGGATGCTAAAAACTTGGTCAGCTCACCTTTGCTATTGGCACAGTGCGTTGGTGAAGGCCCAGCCACAGGTCTGGCTTTGCCCTTCCACTTTTCCAAGAATAAACAGAGGCAGAGCCAGCAGAAGCTGTTTGCCCCAACCATTGTAAGTGAGCCCTTTATGTTGACCTAATTCTGCTCTCCTTGAAGTGACAAAAGCTTTACCACTAACCATGTCCCAATAGCTGCACAGACCTTTGTGCTCTTCTGAAGTCTTGATCCCTTTCTGTATCCCAGGCTCTTTGAAAAATCTGGCCTTGTTCACAGATGCCAAGCCCTTGAAACACTAATTCTTTTGAAAATCTGACTCTGGGTGCTTATGTCCCACTTTAGATACCAGGTATTTGAAGAACAGAGAATGACTCTCTTATTCCTTGATAAAGGAGAACTACTACATATTTTGGAAAGGGGAATTCTCTGCATCTCCTCAGTCCCTGAAAGATGAAAAAACTGTTTGAAAATAAGAAAAATGTAAATAATGGAATTCCATATTTACAGCCCCTATGTCAAATTTATACTTACACCTGAGAGCAGCAGGTGTGAGATCAAAGCCCCTCAGAGCCAATCATAAAAAAGTAAATTTTCTTTGACAAATAAAAGAAATGTCATTTTGAAGACATACAAAGCAGTCTTCCTTCACTGCAAAGTATTCATTAGAGGACAAAGGCAGCATCGTGCCCAGTTTGGGTCTCTGAACTTCAATAGGTTGGCTGTCTGGAGAGAGTCTAGAGGAGATGAAATAGACTGGCTGAATGTCTTGGTTTTTCTATGTAGTTACCATCAGAAATAGTATTTGTTTAGAAGACTTGTACATCACTGCCATGATGCCTGTTGTATTTTAGATCCACCAGGATAGAGGTGCAAAGCAAACATTCATCCATGTCTTCACTTTTGTTGCCCTAGTGCAGAGCTTTGAAAGCTCTTTCCTCACTTTCCGTTCTTTTCGTCTGTGCAATGAAAAGTGATTAGAAGCCTGCATAGATTTTTTTCTCAGCTGTTATGATCTCTAATCTGCCATCAGCAGGTTCCTGGTCATGCCCTGCTTAATACATTTTCCCATTTATTGTGATAAGAAATTCCTTTCATATGAGCAGAGCTCAGGCAACTTCTTACTTACATGAGGTGATGGAAAACCTCTTATAAAATCAAGCCCTCAAAGTGGATAATCTCAACCACAATCTTCCTCGAGATATTTGCTGTCACTCTGCTTTACCTGCAAGGAGTGATAGAGCTGCCCAAATCCCTGATTATTATTAAGCAGAATTTTGACCTTAGAGTTCTTCCCTTTACAAGTGTTCAGTTTATTTGTAACCCCAAACTTTTTGACACTGGCGCAGGACTGGGGGAGGTGGTGGGAGGGTGGTGCTGACTTGATTTTTTGTCCTGTTGTCTCAAGATGTCCCAAGAGTCAGTCCTATATTCATGCAGGCTTTCAGCTGCAGGACAATTTTTCATCACCCTCTAGCACCTGCACCTACAGCAGGAAAGCTCACCATTAGAATAATTTTTGGAAGTCACACGGGGAAAGTGAATTCTCATCATAGGAATGGCAGTAATCACCAGTACAATGTGATAAATGTTTTTGCATGCATACAAGCACTGTGCTAGTGTAGCACATCATGCACATTATGCTCAGGCTGGAGACACAGTGGGATGGGGAATTTCCCTGTCCCCCTCACCAAAGACATGAAAAATCAGGAGAGGAGATCTCTGGCTGGGTATGAAAATGCAGAGAAGGCTGATCTAGATTGGATCACCCTGTTACTGTATCTTGGTTAATATTCCAAAGACATGTTAATCCTGGTTTTGTATTGGGCAGATTGGTTATTGGAATGAAGATGAGAAGCTGGTCCCAATAGCCGTAGATACTCAAAGTGGCAATGAGTCTACGAGCCTGCAGAACAGGACCTACATTGTCACAACTATCCTGGTAAGTGCCACAGCTTCCATCCCATCTCTCCCTCTCCTCCATCTCCCTGATGTGCAGGCTTCCTCTTCCCACTCATGTGCCCTTCTTTGTATTATATAATTTTTATAATAGCAATAATAATAATAACAACAATAATAATAATAGCACTTGCTGTTTCCTGTCGGCTCCATAAAGGTATCTGCAAATTGCTGTGGCTAATTAAGTAGGTACTAAAGAGCTGTCATGCTTAAGTGTAGAAAATACAAAAGATTATGACAAGATAATAGAGGCACCAACACAGGTAAATTAAGAACATTGTACCTGCGCTTTGTATTTATCCCACAGAACTGGGGCTGCAGTTTTGGGAAGGATAAGCTGTTTTGTTCGGAGAGCCTGAATCATTGCTTTAAAAGCAAATCTCCACTATAATCATGAAGGAATAATAGGTACCCCACAATGTATGGTATCATGTATTATGTCATTGTATACACTTACCCTGCAGAAACATGAACTACTAATAATTTGTTTGTTGATTGCTTACTGGGAGTCTGCAGAGAAGACACAATACCCAAACTGAGTTAAACACTTTAAGGCTCTCTCCTGTCCAGCAGATTTGATTCTCTGTGCCCACGCAGGCAGGCATGCCTTTAAAAATTCACAGCTCAGATACATTAAATACCCCTTGCAGAACTACACTGAAAGATTTGTTGCCCAAATCCTGCCACCTACTCCATTCCCCTCAGGTCCATCACTGCAGGAGCTCCACACAGATTCTGCATGAATAAAAAGAATATGCCACAATAAAAAAAAATCAGACTTTGTGCCTTCTCGAATAAGCCCGCGGGGTGTTGGCCATGTCACTTGGCACAGGAACACAAAGCTAGAGCTTTGCAGGGCGACCAGAGGCTGTTCTACAGCTGTTGTGCACCTCTGGAATGAGGAGTGGGGCTCAATGGGGCTCTTCTGTGTGCCAGGAGGACCCGTATGTGATGCTCAAGAAGAACGCCAACCAGTTTGAGGGCAACGAGAGGTACGAGGGCTACTGCGTGGAGCTGGCCGCCGAGATTGCCAAGCACGTGGGCTACCACTACCGGCTGGAGATCGTGCGCGACGGCAAGTACGGAGCGCGGGACCCCGACACCAAGACCTGGAACGGCATGGTGGGAGAACTCGTCTACGGGGTGAGTTTCCAACCTCCACATTTAGCTCTTGGTACCTGGGATCGCATTCAAGCCCCAGAGTTGGAAGGAGTCCTGCCCTCTCTCAGCCTGAGCTCTCCAGAGGACTGCAGCTTAAACAATCAGCCCAAGTAAAATGTTTTAATTTAGGGAGAGACAGCACATGCTGGGCCTATGGAAATGTCAAAACATTCCCTTTCAACAGTTCCAAGATTCTTTTTCTTTACATTTTTAGAAGAACAAGTATCGAAAGGTCATACTTTCCCATGGGTAGAATCTCCAAATTTTACTCAGTTTTATATTTGCATGGTAATGGCAGGATGAAGGAAGAAAAAGATTTCAAACACTCAGCACGAGTGGTGAATAGAAGGATGAGATTACTTTCTGTCCAGCCACTCATTTCCATCATTAGGGATGTACACCTGCACCCTACACTTCTAAACCTGGTTTGGTCTGGTAGTTCATACTCTGTGATGTTTAGGTCAGCCCTCAGACAGAGGGGTCTAATTTCCCTTCCCCTACAAGGGAAATCATGCAAGGAGCATCAGTTCCAAAGTCCATGTGAGACTGTGCTGGAATGGGGATGATCCACTCCACTGGGAGATGGTAGCTCCACTGTAAATGCTCCAACGTAAATCCATTTCAATGCATTTCCCTCTCCATTTTCAAGATGGATTGCAAAATTAGTGGAGAGAACATATCAGTGTTGCTGGACCATTTTTCCTCTTCTCCTGCATCAGTTATGCAATCAAAAAATGGTTCCTGATGGAAATAAACATCCTGACATCCTTTTTCAGGAGATTGGCCTTTCCTTGCCTCTTTTGATGTCTGGATGATAAAGCTCTTTTAGAGAAAATCATCTTCATCAGACTGTGACATCAGTGGATAAATCAGATGAGAAGAGCTGGGTGGCTGCAAAAAGAAAGCACTGTGATTTCAAAACAGATCTGGTGATCAGTAGTGATAAAATGGAAATAATCTACCAATATTATGGGCTTCTCCTTTTTAACCTTTTCCTTGGAATTGGTTTTGTCTGATTTCTTCTGAGATAGCAAGGTTAAACAGAGATTAAAGGATCATACACTGCAGTTAGTAGAAACATTTTATTCCCAGTCTGCAAATCCCTTTTCTGTCTCCTTTTTCAGAGGGCAGATGTGGCTGTGGCACCACTGACCATCACCCTGGTTCGAGAAGAAGTTATAGACTTTTCCAAACCGTTCATGAGTTTAGGTATATCAATAATGATAAAAAAACCTCAAAAGTCCAAACCAGGAGTTTTTTCCTTTCTGGATCCTTTGGCCTACGAGATATGGATGTGCATTGTTTTTGCCTACATTGGAGTGAGCGTTGTCCTCTTCCTGGTGAGTCGCTTCAGCCCTTACGAGTGGCACACTGAGGAATTCGAGGAGGGACGGGACCAGCCAGCCACTGACCAGACAAATGAGTTTGGGATATTCAACAGCCTCTGGTTCTCCCTAGGAGCTTTCATGCAGCAAGGATGTGATATTTCTCCAAGGTGGGTTGCCTTCCCAAATGAACCTTCTTCTAGTTTGCATGGTTTAATCCTTCTTTGTGTTTTGAAGCTGAACAGGTTCTACTTTGACCTCCCTTCCTGAAACAAAGTGTAGTTTTGTGAATCAGTTACAGACCCAGGAAAGACCCAAAAGTTCACAGTTCTCACAGCTGTGAACTTGGTACCTCAAACCTGACACTGTGAAAATAGTATTTAAATTGTTTTGGAGGAGTTCTTTTGAGAGAATTTACAGAAATTAGAAAAAGCATTTCTAAAGCCACCCAATTGCAATCAAATTTTGTCAGTAATTTATTTTGTTGCTAGTAGAAATAAGATGATTCTAGCATTATAGGGAAGATAAAAACTTCCAGCAAGGTTTGGAGAAATAATACAGTAGGTGCCCAGAGAAAGGTTATATGGTCTGTGTCAAACATTATGGAGCACAATGAGTGGCTTAATTATTACTGGCCTTTAAAAAGGTTAGAGAAAGACTAAGTTTCATTCTGCTTCCCATTTCAGCCAACAGTTCTGCTGCCTGAAAGTTCAGTGTGACCCAACATTCAAAGTCTTCCTAAAGGGACTTTTTGGTGAATGACTCTTGTGATTTACTTAGATAATTTTTCCTTCCTTTTGCGGGCTTTGTCTCCCTTCTCTTCAAAGGAAGTTTCATCCAGAAATACCCGTCTTATGGGTGAAGACAGTGGGCAGAGGTTGATTTCCAGCCTGCTGTGGTGGCATCAAAGCTCAGGGGATGAGAAGGAGACACAGCTCCGTTGACAAGTGGAGATAACTCTGTGCAGCTCAGCACAGCTCCCCGGGGATGGCAGGGAAGGCTGAGCAACAGCTTTTTGCCTATCAGATGCCAATTTATCCAAATGTTAATGAGCTTGTGATAGCAAGGAAATAACAGTCTGCAGGGCACTTTGATAGTGACAGCCTTTATGAATATGTTTTATTATCTGATCATTGATTAGTAGGAGGCCAGGCAGAGAATTCAGAAAATCCTCCCAGCAGAGGGAATTGCAGCTTTATTGCTGTCTTGTAGCCAGCCCCGTGCATTAGGATCAGGTTATTGTGATTTTCATTCTCGTTGTTTTTGTCATCATTATTCTTATTTAGGAAAGAGAATGCCTTCCTTTAGGGTCATTTCAATAGGTGGTTTCTGATTCGAGGAGGAGCAGGGAGAGGTGAAAAGCTGAGGCTTTGAGGAATAGCAATTTTGGTAACATCTTTAATAGAAAGTGTCAGGGAAAGATCAGTGGGTTTGATTCAGCTAACATGATTTGCTCTAGCTAAATAACATGCTTTGAATCACCATTTCAAAGTGTGGTTTTATTTTGCTTTGAAATGGGAAATGAGAATTGTTCCATCATTGTTACTTTAATGTTGGTTGATTTAATCATCCTGATAATGAAAATTACAATTTCATCAAAACCAATATTTTCCCATGGAACACAAGAGCAGTTTCTGACTGCTACAACTATTGGCAAGATGATAAAAACTTAAAAATTAAATACGGGAATTATTATAACTCCCAGTACTCTGAGTACAGCTTGTTGAGATGGTTGTAAGGGGAGAGGGACATTCCTGTGCGATGTGAAAGCCAGGAGGAAGCAGAAGAGTGAGAATTTCCGTAGGATGTTGTTGTGCAGAAAGGCTCTGAGCGCACTCTGCATTTCACATGTACTTTTCACACGAACCCAGAGCAGGATTTCTGTGACACATCACTTAGAAATGAACACTTGGTAGAATGACACTGTGGGCAGGTGGGGATATCTGCTCTATTCTATTTCCTATGTGGTTGCTTCTAAACTTATCACTACTATCTCTCAGCATCTCCCCAGCAATGCATTAACCAACAGAAATAGCTTCTGTTATACATCTGTTCTGTCATCCTCTCCCCAGCAGAAAGGAGCAAGTGCAGGGGTGTATTTTGTTTTTTTCAAGGTTTTTGGGTTGTTTATTTCAGTTTTGTTTTGGAAAGGAACAGGGGAAATTTGTCTGGAGGTTTGTTGTTTTTTATTTTCCAGAGTGTGCTTGTTTTAAGTGCATATGCCACTATGTATTTATCATTTAAAAAAAAGTAAGATCAAAACTGCAGACACATCACTCAGCACAGCGGGTGGTGAGGTTTGCAGAAATAACTTGCTCTTGTAAATGTGCGTTCCTCAGTCTCAGACCAGTCCCCAGGGAACTTCAATGCCCCAAAGAGAAAAAAAATTTGCTTTTGAAGGAAAGTGTTGTCCTTTTTTAAAGACAGACTTACTAGGCAGAGCTTTATATAGGCTTTTAAGACACTGGGGACAACCTACCAAGGACTTTAAAGACACACTGTAAATTTGGTGGCCTGTGGATGGCCAGGAAAGAGCAGAGCTGTGGGTTACCTGCTCATAGCCTCTTCACAGGAGGTCAGCTGGTATCCTTGAAGCTCTGAAGCCTTCACGTCTAGGCATCGACCGGGTGGATGTGACAAAGGGCAGGCAGTGACCAGCCATGGAGCGTCCCAGCTGGAGCTGGTGGCAGTATGTGTTGTGCCTTTGGGTGCTGAAACATGAGCATGAGCAAGGAATCCATCCCTCCAAACCCATAAAGGGATGGCTCGATGGTAAATGCATGGCTTCAGGCCAATGGGGCTATGAGCTCTCGGACATTTCCCACTGGAGCGTGTGTCCACCTTCATCACCATCACCATCACCATCACTGGCTGTGGAGCAGTCCCTACCACGTGGACTCATTTATCCTGGTTGAGGTGAGACAGCCCCTGTTGCTGCCCCTAAAGCTTTCAAAGCACAGCTGATACCCAGCAGGGTCAGGGAGAAGCTCAGAGCTGTGCACAGCTCCACAGTGACAGGCGGGAATCAGTGAAGTCTGAAACGGGCCATAAACCATCAGGCTTTGCAAAGTGCCACCTTAGCTTCAGAAAACGGTCATGAAATTGCAAAAGCACTCATTAAACGTGAAATACAGACCCAGAAAGGAGCTTCTCAGAGCAGGCATCAGAGGTAATAAATAACCCACAGCCAATAGCGAGAGCCTGCGGAAATAAAAATGTGAAGTAAATGTGACTCACATTGTACCATTTTCAGAACTGTAATTTGATAAATTGTCTTCAGAGCTTAAAATAACCACAGTGTGTGGCAGCTGTGGAGAGTAGGACCTTGCTAAAGTCCAGCACTTTGCCATTCCTCACTTAGGATGGACCTGAGGCCTTTGAGAAGCCCAAGGGATGCTTGGGCTTCTCAACCTGCTCTGCAGCAAAACAAAGCATCAGAATTGTTCATGTTCTCCATCATTTTCTGCAAAATAAATAATTTGACTCTTGTGAAAAGGATGGAAAAACAGAGAGCAAAATAGCATTTCTTGTCAGCATCCTATCTTGATCTACTGTTTTCTCTTATCATAAAATGTGTTGCTTCATATAGTTTGAGCCCAAAAGCGACTTTTTGTATATTGGAGACTATTAAATTTAATCTGGTTACTCTTCCTGTGACTCAGAAAATTTATGTCTGACTAAAATGAAATACATTTGCTTAAAACAGGTCTTCCAGAGGGGCATTTATTTTTCACTTGAAAATACCATGACATAGAATAGACAGTTACTCTCAGCTGAGTTGACTGTAGGAATCTTGTCCCATCTCAGCTTTGGCAGGTGAATAAATATCAGACAATATCACCCAGTGAATGCAGACATCTTTTGTGCCCTGCCAGAGGAACCTTAAATGAAGATCTCCAAAAATTAGCCCAACTTCTTGGAGCCTCTCTTTATTGTTGAAAAAAAAATATACATATTTTGAATTCAAATCAAAGTCTACTGTCAGTAGAAGGGAAATGTATTCTCCTGTTGTGGCACACCAAGGCATCAGGTCCTGATACCTGGATAACACAGCTTGAAATCACTCCTAATAATCTGTCTCATTGTTTTAAGAGCTGGAGATGTTGTGGTCAGCCTGTGCTGGGAGTGAAATGGTGGATGAAGCTTTCATGCCATCTGTGTCTGAGAGACAGCCAGGCTGGACAGGGGATGTTTTGGGAGCATCAGCAGGGCTGCATGAGCAGGGAGAGCCCCTGTGCTCCTCTGTGCAAGGCAGGACCACAGCTGGGAACTGCTGGGGTCACACCAGTGTGCCCTAAAGTCTGTGGGGTTCCATGTGTGCAAGGAGACATGGCACAAGGTGCAATCCACCCTCCAGCTGCCTTGGGATGAAGAGTTAACAGGGTTTTCACTGGCCTGCAGCCCCAGAGGCGTGCAGGGTGCAGGGGATTGTGCCCAGCAGTGACCCCCGGCTGGCGGGGCTGGGTGTGCTGAGCAGGGAGGTTTGCTGGCAGAGATGATGAATGACTGCACTCCCAGGCAGGAAGAAGAGAGACAGATGCTGGCTGCTCTCCAGTCAGTAGATACAATCTATTATTTATAGGCATTTTGTGGACATGGTTATTTGTATTTTGTGACATGGAAACAGAGCTCTGGCTGATCCGTACAGTGCTCGTGTTCACTGCGCTCCTCCTCAGCCTCTCTGCTGCACTCCATCAGGGTGGTTTGTCTGGGGAAGAGCAAACAAGGTCTTTATTATGTACCTGTAATTAATGCTGAGCATTTTCCTCTGCTCTTTTTCCTGTTTATTTACATTTCTTTATAGCCCAATTGAAAAAAGTCACAGGAGACCTCAGCTTTTGAAAGACAGCAGCACTTTTAAATTTCATCAAGATCTTCCCAATACTGAAAGGTTTTATCCAGTTTTTGGGGAAAATCTAAATCAGAAATTGATTAGAACAAAAAAAGAATGTTGTGGAGGTTTTTGGTTTGTGGTGGGGCTTTTTTTTGTTGTTGTTTGGTTTTTTTTAGTGAAAGGTTAGATTTGGATTTTTTCAAGGAAATTATTTCTGTTCCATCCTTTGTAAACTTACATTTGCAGGGTACTTACTTATTTTGCTAAAAATTTAGCATTAGAGAAATTAGAGCCAGCTGCATTTAGCAATCAAAAGGAATCTAATTCCTTCCTGAA